CGGGGGCGCCGCGGGCGGGCAGACTCAAGAGGGCAAGAGCGGCGCGGGGAGGAGCCAGAGGGGCCTGCGCCTGGCAGGGAGCAGCTGCTGGCTGAAGGGCTAGGAAGCAGGTGCCCTGGGAGCAGGACGTGCTGGGACCCTCGCGCCTCGCTTGGGCCCAGCTGCTCTCCACAGGAAGAGACAGGCTGCCGGGCTCTGCAGAGCTGTCCTGGCCATGCTGCTGTCCCGGCCACACGGCACCGCTCGGAGCCCCGCAGCGCAGCCAAGCCAAAGCAGCGGGGACACCGCCGGCTGCGTCTGGCCAGCACGAGGGACCCCTCCCTGGGCGCACATCGGGTCCGCTGGCCCTCCTGCCGCAGGCGGGGCCCACGACTTGGGACGGCCGTGCAGCTGGGGTCCAGTGGGGCCGGGCCAGAGGCTGCCATGCAGGGAGGCCACTCCCCAGTGCTCAGACGGACGCACCCCTTGCCCTGTTTTGAGCCGTGACTGTCGTCCTCCCACTGCTCCCGAGCCCTGCCCAGCGCCAGGGAGCTGCGCCTGGCCCTGGGGCCGGCTGGGGGAGACTCTGTGCAGGGGATGGGAATACGCCCCCGGCCCCACCTCATCAGAGCCACGTGGGAGCCTCTGCTGCAGCTGGCCAGAAGCTCTCTCACGTGCCACTGTGGCCTCCCCACGGCCTATTTGCAGCGTCTGCTGTGGGCAGACCCGGGCCAGGCTCCAGGAAACCCAGCGCGAGATGCAGGATGGTTTGGCTGGCACCCCGTCCCGTGGAGCTGAGCTGTGGCTGTGGCAGGTGTCGGCTCTTTGGGGGCCCATGGCTGGCGGGAGCTGGTAACGCTGGGCTCCCTGGGGGGCCCGGAAGCCTTTGCTGTGTCCCGATGTGGAAGGAGTGGGGCCGGGGCAGCTGGTACCTTTGTTCTCTGGCTTGAGCTCCTCGTGCAGCAGGTCGTTCTGCCGGTTGCCCAGGACGAAGGCCAGGAAGGAGAGGATGAGGGCGTTGAGGATGCCGATGATGGCGAGGATGTAGGCCCAGCGCACAGAGCAGTCACCCAGCGAATACTTCCCTGTCTTCTCCCCACACATGTCCCGCACCGTCTCTGCGTCCCAGCCATCCGGAAAGATCATGCAGCCCAGCACCAGGCAGAGAGCTGGACAGGACCAGGGGGAGAGAGAACAGCAGTTTGCTAACAGCCGGCTCCGCAGCAGGGCACACAAACATCTACGGAAGCCCCAAGGATCAGTTCTAGAGCTAGTTTTTGTGCAATGTCTTTATTAATGATCTGGAGGAGGGGATGGATTGAGGGGATGGGTTGCACCCTCAGCAAGTTTGCAGATGACACTAAACTAAGGGGAGAGGTAGATACACTGGAGGGCAGGGAAGGGTCCAGAGTGACCTGGACAGATTAGAGGGTTGGGCCAAAAGAAATCTGATGAGGTTCAACAAGGACAAGTGCAGAGTCCTGCACTTGGGACGGAAGAATCCCAAACATTGTTACAGGCTGGGGACCGACTGGCTAAGTAGCAGTTCTGCAGAAAAGGACCTGGGGGTTCCAGTGGATGAGAAGCTGGACATGAGTCAACAGGGGCCCTTGTAGCCAAGCAGGCTAATGGCATATTAGGGGGCATTAGGAGGAGCATTGCCAGCAGATCCAGAGCAGCGATTACTCCCCTTTATTCAGCTCTGGTGAGGCCACATCTGGAGTATTGTGTCCAGTTCTGGGCCCCCCACTACAGAAAGGATGTGGACGCATTGGAGAGGGTCCAGCGGAGGGCAACCAAAATGATTAGGGGGCTGGAGCACATGACCTTTGAGGAGAGGCTGAGGGAGTTGGGTCTGTTTAGTCTGCAGAAGAGAAGAGTGAGGGGGGATTTGAGAGCAGCCTTCAACTTCCTGAAGGGAGGTTCCAAAGAGGCTGCAGAAAGGCTGTTGTCAGTAGTGACGAATGGCAGAACAAGGAGCAATGGTCTCAAGTTGTGGTGGGAGAGGTCCAGGTTGGAGATTTGGAAAAATTCTCTCCCTAGGCGGGTGGGGAAGCACTGGAATGGGTTCCCTAGGGAAGTAGTGGAGTCTCCATCCCTTGAGGTGTTTAAGTCTCAGCTTGACAAAGCCCTGGCCGGGTTGATTTAGTTGGGATTGGTTCTGCCTTGGGCAGGGGGCTGGACTTGATGACCTGCTGAGGTCTCTTCCAGTTCTGTGATTCTATGAATTCTCTATCTGAACAATGGAAGGCTAGGGATATAAATAATGCCAGCCAACTTGTCTTTATGAAAATATATTAAGCAGACCTCATTTCATTCTTTGAAATGAGAAGCTGAGAAAGATAACAATGTCACTGTGACGTGCTAAGAGAAGATAACGGTGTAGCTGTGACGCACTAGGATAACAGTGTAGTTGTGACGCACTAAGATAAAAGAATGGTATAGCTGTGACACTAAGTTAAGAGAATGGTGTAGCTGTGACGCACTAGGATAACAGTGTAGTTGTGACGCACCAAGATAAGAGAGTGGTGTAGCTGTGACGCACTAAGATAAGAGAATGGTGTAGCTGTGACGCACTAGGATAACAGTGTAGTTGTGACGTACTAAGATAAGAGAACAGTGTAGCTGTGTCACACTAAGGTAACGGTGTAGCTGCAACACACTAAGAGAATGGTGTAGCTGTGACACACTAAGAGAACGGTGTAGCTGTGACACACTAAGGGTATGCCTACACTATTGCCCTAGTTCGAACTAGGGTGGTTAATGTTGGCAACCGAAGTTGCAAATGAAGCCTGGGATTTAAATATCCCGGGCTTCATTTGCATCTTACCAGGCGCCGCCATTTTTAAAGCCCTGGTAGTTCGGACTCCGTGCCCGCAGCTACACGCAGCACGGAGTAGGTAGTTCGGATTAGGCTCTCTAATCCGAACTACTGGTACTCCTCGTTCCACGAGCAGTAGCAGTGTAGACATACCCTAAGAGAACAGTGAAGCTGTGACACAATACGATAAGGGTGTAGCTGTGATGCACTAAGATAAGGTCACTGTGTCTGTGGTGCATGGGAACTTTTGGAAGGCACGTGACATTGTGGGGCTGGAAGTCAGCACTGTGAGAGCTGCCAGGCACCAGGCAGTGGAGTTTGCTCTCGGTGGACATGTCAATCGAGGACACGGTATAAAAGTACCAAGAGCAGCGCTAGTGGTGAGACGGGAAGCCCCAGTCCCTGTTTATGCAGTTAGTGACATGGAGACGCTCTCCCTGACCTGCAGGGGAGAAGGTTTACGTAATTCCAGGGACTATCCATCCTCCTTGCCACTTTGCTCTGCCCCCAACGTGGACCAGCCTAGAAGGACCTATAGAGGTAGGTTGCTTGGAACAATCTAAGTTATGTGCCATCAGCGTGGTTGAAGGCACCGTACTTAGATCTTCTCACTGTGGTGTCTGCGCTTGGTGCGTCTGCCGGAGATGCTCTCCCATCACCTCCTCTCTGCTGCTCATTCCAGTGGAGTGCCACAGTCGACACGAGAGCAATCGGCAATCAATTTCCCGAGTCTATGCTGGACTTCATAAATGGGCCCCATGGCTCGCTAGCTGCCCATGGATCTGGCTGGTAGTGTGGACAATGTAAGAGCATTCTAAGAGCCATGCCCCGGGTCCGGCAACAGCCACAGTTATTGTTTTGAAACTCAGCTCTCGCTGCAAGGGCTGGGAACCCTTTTAGGGCTGGGGGGCACTGACCCACTGAAAAATCAGCGGGGGCCACGCCCCCAATTGAGGAGAAAACAGCCCTCTCAGATGTGGCCCCCAACAGACGTAGGAGAAAAGCGATTCACCTCTCTTCTCTCAAGCACCAGACAGCCTCCCTCTGCCACCCGCAGCCATATGCTTCCTGGTCACAGCAGGCCGCCGGCTTTCCTCACAGTGCTGGCTGGCTGAACAGCCCCACCCAACAAGGCCTTTCTGGTCCCTGCAGCATTTCCCTGCCTCCTCCCGCCTGCCAGCCAACACGGAGCTAGAAGCACAGAACACTAGGACTGGAGGGCCCTCGAGAGTTGAGTCCAGGCCCCTGCCCCCATGGCAGGACCAAGCACCGTCCCCATCCCTGATAGAGGTTTATCCAACCTGCTCTTCAATATCTCCAGAGACGGGGATTCCACAACTCCCCGGGCCATTTATCCCAGTGTTTGGCCCCCTGACAGGCAGGAACTTTTTCCTAATGTTCAACCTAAACCTCCCTGGCTGCAGTTTCAGCCCCTTGCTGCCTGTCCTGTGCTCAGAGGCCAAGGGGAACAATCTTCCTCCCTCCTCCCCGTGACACCCTTCAGATACCTGAAAACGGCTGTCCTGTCCCCTCAGGCTGCCCCCCTGCAAACGAAGGACTCACCTCCAAGACCAGCCTAAGACCAGAGCGGCCAGGACTCCTCTGCACGACCGTGATGTGCAGCAGCTGGATCCAGAGACTGCCCTTGCCTGGCCAGCAGGGGACGCCTGCCTGCCTGTACCCGGATTGGTGAGCACGACACTGTGTGCGTAGCAAGCGTATTCTGCTCGCGTGGGAATTGCCAATAAATAGAGGGTAAGAATATTACCGGGTGAGGCTCTTTCAGTGGCTAAAGATCCTGCCGACCCGCAGGAAGTTCTGCCCTGAGCCCTAGGAACTGGGTAAGGGTGGGCGACCCCAAAGTGTGGAAGGGACAGAGACATTTGTGTGGGCACCAGTGGGACAGACCCTTGCGAAGGGCAGGGAAGGACCCCGATGGGGCTCTGGAGCTCCGTCCCAGGCCTAGCCCGGAGCTGTATGGTGGAGCTGTGGTGCGGCCCAGGAGTGTGGTTGGTGCTTCCTATTATTCCTGTCCCTCCACTTTGAGTCCTGCCTCTGGTCCACAATAGAGCTGGGGGGCTTTCCCCCCGCTACAGCTGCTGGAAGCCCAGCCCCCCCCCCCGGCCGGCTTGGTCTCTAGGCTAAACAACGCACCCCCAGCCAGTCTCGAAGGCACCCAGACCCCAGGCTGTATTAAAGCCATCCAGTAGTACCCTGAGAGGCCACAGAAGACCATGTGTAAGAACCAAAGCCCTGCTCCACCTTCAGAGGGCTGGAGGGTACCCCCCCGGCCCCAGCCGCCCCTCGGCTGGCTGCACAGGGGCAGAGAAGGTCACAGCTCTCTTCTGTGCTCACCCCATGCTGCCCCAGACCCCCTTGCCAGATGCACAGGGACAGAGCATAAAAGCGGCCAGACTGGATCAAACCAACGGTTCATCCAGTCCAGTGTCTTGTCGGCTGACAGTGGCCAATGCCAGGTGCCCCCAAGGGAGAAAACAGAACAGAGAATCCTCACATGAACCCTCCCGTCCCCCACTTCCAGACAAACAGCGGCCAGGGACACCATTCCTCCCCAGCCTGGCTAACAGCCATCAATGGACCCAACCTCTATGAATCTATCTCGCTCTTTTTTGAACCCTGTTAAAGTTCTAGCCTTCACCACATCCTCTGGCGAGGAGTTCCACAGGTTGACTATGCGCTGAGTGAAGAAAAACTTCCTTGTATTTGTTTTAAACCTGCTGCCCATTCATTTAATTTGTTGGCCCCTAGTTCTTATATTGTGGGAATAATAAATAACTTTCCCATATTCACTTTCTCCACACCACTCATGATTTTCATAAGAACAGAACAATGGCCAGACAGGGTCGGAGCAAAGGTCCATCCAGCCCAGTGTCCTGTCTGCCGACACTGGCCAATGCCAGCTTCCCCCGGGGGGGGTGGACCGAA